CATGAATTAATTTAACTAATGGTGTCCACAGAGCTCAGAGAGGCAGCACTGATTTCAGCTGTCCACTGCCCTTAATGGCTTTGCGAGACTGAGCCTGGAAAAAGGCTTTTGTCCAGCCACCAGGAAGCTGGAAAAGCAGAACGTGCTCTCAGTCTGGGGGAGGCAGCAGCACCAGAACCCCCAGCTGGGGGCCAGCCTGCGGCGCAGAACTGGTGCACATGGAAGAGCCTGCTCGACCTTTGGACTTCCGCTAAGATGTGTGGAGCAAACACAGGCCTGAAACAGGAAGGAAGTAGCACAACCACAGCAGAGGGGGCACGGAGGAGGGAGCAGGAAGGAACATGCCTGCTCAGCCTGCGGACCTGGCCTTGGGGAGCCAGCTGATCGATAACCACGGGGTAACTGAAGGAAGAGTCTTGCTTCATGCTGGTTTTTGTTCCCCAAAACGGCCGCTCTTTGGAGCCCTGTCGGTGTCAAGGCAGTGCAGTTTTACAGGTGACTGTAACTGCAGCTGTACAGGCTCTGGTGATGCTTCTGGGTTGTTGAAGAAGCTGTTCTGTTCACATTGTGTGTGTGGAAGGAACTGCAGATGTCTAATAGGAAGATACTTGGCTACTGTATGGAGTGGAAAAATATTTGGCTTTCAGAGCTTTCACCTTTTCTGTCCTTCCTTGTTTCACTGTCTAACAATAATACCCTGCATGGATGTGTGAAAGCACTGGCAAGGATGTGAAATCCCACCTAAACTGAAGCAGTTGCTCTGCGTGGATGTTAACCACTGAACACAAACATGCTGGAGTTCTGTGTTTGAAGCTGGTGCAGGTGTTACCTTCAGCTCAGTTGCAGACAGCGAGAAGAGCCAACTGATACGGCTTGTGGTCCCTGGGTGATGTTTTCAAGAGTGCTTATATGGCGGGTGTTTAAATCCAGTGGGATTTAGGGGCCTAAATCAGTGATTCCCAAACTGCGATTACCATACCTCGGATGTGGCTCTTGGTAACAGTATCTGTGTTCATTACTGTGTTCAGCTAAAGTCTAAAAGAGGGCCATCATGGCAAATTGCTGGAGTTCTGTCTGTGGCCAAAAGTATTTGGGAATCTCTGGTGTAAGTCGTCCATTGAAAATAGTACGCTCTTTTTGTAGGAGAATACTTCCTTCTCTTTAGTTGAAGCAGAGGAGATGAGGACCGGTGCTGATGTTGCTAAAACTAAAACACAGTCACTGAACTTCGACATGCCAATGGAAATGTTCACTTCATTGCAAGCACTTACTTGGTCTGTATTAACTTCCAACTGTGTAACTTGCCTGGTTGAAATAAAGGAGTGCATTCTTGAAAGGAAATGTCCTTTTGGCACAGGATTGGTAACTGGTTGCTGGATGTAAAAGCTGGTTCCTGACATTAAACATTCACTTTCTGTGCTTTCGCTGTTGTTGATTTAAGATGCAGCTGAATATGAAAATACGAGGCTGAAAATGTTCAGTTAATAGAAACTTTCTTGGAAACAGAGTCCCTCATTGTGTGTCTGTGTAAAATGATTTGTTTATCCCCCTTGCAGCCTGTGCAAGTTCAGTCTTCTCTCGCTGAACTGACATGCTCAGCTAAGCACAAGAACTTCCTGAAACTCAGCTAAGGGAGAAGGCTCTAAGGCAGAAGCCATAAGCAACTTGACACAGGAAGATACCTCTTCATCATGCAGTGCTGTTACTTTAAACCATGCCCTTGTCCACTTAGCAGCTTGTTTGAGGGTCAGAAATGGGTTAGGGTGCTTGGTTTTCACACTCTGCTGGGCAGCGATAGGAAGAGTATATACCTGAAATGACTTCACTTCTACCTACCAGCTGTTGCATACATTCGTTTCAAGCATGTTAAGAGTGCTGGATAACTAAGCAGCTTTAGGGTTGCTGACTTTGTAGTCACTTGGCCTTAATGGGTTGCTGCGAGATGCCACGTTACCTGCTAAGATGGCACACAAATATTGCATGCTGACCCTTCAAGGAGCTAGTCGGAACGTGATTCTTACCAAGGACTTCCATGTTAGTGTAACAACACCTCCGTTTTTATCAACTTAGGAAAAAGCAATCTCTCTGTTTCCTGAATTGTGAGTGATTCGTAATCCTCTGGGTTTGCTTTGTTCCCTTGCACTGCTGTAACCTGTCCTCTATTCTGCTGGTTTATGGAAGTGAGGACTTTCAGCAGCCAGCCTGGGGAGCAAGCTCTGCAGCTGGAACCTCTGATTTGTACCTTTTGTACTGGTTGTCAGCCAGAGGCACTGCAGGGACATGGTGGGAACCTGCCCTCGACAGGGAGGGAGAGAGCTGGGCTGTGAGTTTGCACTGAGTCTTTATAGCATTAGCCAGCGGCTGTGCCTAGGAGTCCGAGCCTTCCTGCTAAATGCACTGTCACTTATCTGCTCCTGGGAAGAGGAACACACAGCATTGAACTACTTCACATTACACAAGGGCGGGGAGATGCACAAACAGGCAGCAGCCTGGTTTTGTGCTGCTCTGGTTTGTGTATCTATACATTCTAGGTCCTAACCTGTGATTGTCATAAATGCAACTGTGATCACATAGGAAGCTATCACTTTGCTGTTCTGATACAGCTTAGTTTTCCCTACACATGCATCCTGTATAGTTTAAGACATGCTGTATAAAGCCTCCTAAAAACAGAAGGTGAGGGATTACTGTAGCACTCCAAAGGTATGAAACAAAGTGCATAAGCGGATGACTTGCAATTGAGATGCGCTAGTAAGGCAAGGGGACTTTCTGCCAGCCCCTCTCTCGGGGGGGGGGGGGGGGGGGGGGGGGGGCAGTTAACTCACAAAGAGTGGTAAACAGCAAAGCTTTTTGGTCTGTATTTATAGACTCAAACAAGCAAATCACATAGCTGCTTTAAAACACACCCAGTTTGAGTGTGTAACGCATTCAGTAGAGAGGTGCTGAGCGGAACAGCTGACGGAAGAGCATCTGCATGCTTTGACTTTGTTAATCTTGAGCACCTGTTGTTATTGGGCATGTATGAAATGACAAAAACCAGAGCCCCTGGCTGTGTAGCTGACACCTTCTGTAAACACTTGGGGCAAACATCCTTGTTGAAACACAAAATGTAGTTGAATAAATGAGGGTAAGGAGCGAGAGCTGCTCTCCGAGGAGATTTACAAGGTTGAGCCATGTATACCTCCTAGTCTGCCCACACTCTATCCCAGCACGGAGAAAGAACTGCCATGGAGTGAATAGCAGAATATATGTCAAGCAAAATGGACCACTTCCAATTGAGTTTAGACTGTATGAAAGCATGGTATGGAGCCAGAAGACCTAAGCCCAAATGTCCAGAGCCTCTTTGCAGAAAGTCTGGAGGCAGTTCCCTGTCTCTACCTGGGGGTCAGTTCTGCAATCAGGCAGAGTAACAGGGTCAGTACTTCAAGCAGGAATGGCCTCTCTGGAGTAAGAGCTATCTGAAAAATGGCCAAGGTGAAGTAAATTGGACCTAGTCCAATGCAAAGCTGTTGAAGAGCTGGAACCTGGGGGGAGCATAGTGTGCTGCCAAGCTCAGCTGTCTTCGGGGCGGTGGCACACTGCAATAGTAACGTATGCAGGGAGAGAATTTGGAATCAAGGCATTAAGAAAATGCTGTGTGACCGGAGATGCTTCTACCCTGGGTGGGTCAGTCGTTTGCAGTCTGCGGCAGAACTTGTTGCTCAATGTCCTGACTGACTCCGTGCAGTGCCTTGGTGGTGGTGCAGTCTTCTGACCAGCTCCGGTCTGTTGGGTGTAATGTAGAAGTTGTCCTTTCCCACATGATGCTAGTTCCTTCTTTTACCTTCAGGCATGTGACATGGGGGTGAAAAAAAGCCACTGGCCTAGAAATAGCCCTGAATCTTTTCAGAAACTGCATTTTCCTAGCATCTGGATAATGTAATGGAGTAGAATAGAAGAGATTCGTCCTTTATTAGGATAAAGGAGTGGTACAAATAGATGCCACTAGTGATTTTTTTTTCCCCATCTATGAATAGAAGACTGCCTCTCTAGTGTGTAATGGTGCTGTTGTTTGACTCCTAAATAGGAAGACTGTTATTCCTGTACTGCTATAGGCACTGATGCTTTGAGGTACCCAAGCTAGCTCTATTTCTGCTTAGCACTGTTGCAGCATAGAGCTTACCTCCTTGTGTAGTTGCTCCCAACGCTGCTGTGTCCTCTCTGCTAGGCAGGAGTCCTTCTGTCTTCTACTCCTGGAAATCCTTTGCATGTTGACTAATTCTCTCCTCCAGCTTTCCCTCTCCAGTTTAGAAAAGGTCCTCACCTGATGGACTAGAGCACTTCAGACACATGAGTGTGTTTAGGCAGAGAAGGGATCTGTACCAATTTGTAATTAAATTGGATAATTACTCAGTGCAGTGTGGTTGAGAAGGACTCTCAAGCTTTTGAAGAACCATCAAGCTTTTGTATGTAAGTTATTCCCATTATGCAGGTGTTTTGACCTTCCCTTGAGAGCTGGACCTGTTGTTATCACTTAGATGTTATCTGAGCAAATCTATTCTGTTGGGACCCTTGGAGACTTGAAAGGACATTCAGCTTGTGTGGTCTAAGGCAGTAGTAGTTTTATGTGCTGTCATAGGGAATTCTTAGACCCAAGAGCAAAGGAATCTGATGAGGTTTTGGTTTTAGTGTTATTGAGTTGATAGGTAAGGTCTGAATGCCAGGTTTGGACATTTTCTGTGCCTGTGTTTTCTTGGGAGGCTTTGCCATGGAAATAACGTGCCCACCTCAAAGAGATTATGCAAACTTAGTCTTGGTGGAAAATGTCTTCACAAACACCAAGCTTGCTGGTAAGTACATTGTGGTGGATGTGCTCTGAATGCTGGGTAAACAGGGTCCCAAGCAAGAGGAGTTTCTAGGCTGGGATGCTCGAATAGCAGGAGGTACAGTTTCTGTTTTGTTCAGTGCTAAACCACATCTGTCTTCTCTACAAGAGACCTTTGTTTTTTTGTGCTCCTTCGTAGGCGTAACCTGACAAAGTTATCCCTGATATTCAGCCATATGCTGGCTGAGCTCAAAGGTATTTTCCCAAGCGGCCTTTTCCAGGGGGACACGTTCCGGATCACCAAGGCGGATGCAGCCGAGTTTTGGAGAAAGGCTTTTGGTGAAAAGTAAGTTTCTAACTGTGATTAAAGATCGAATTGTGGGAACGACTCGCACACAGCAGCGTGTAGGTTTCAAAGCTGTTCAGAGGAGTCTTTGTTAAGGTTCACATGAACGATGGGAGAGACCTACAGTCATTCGGTCCACTGTCTGGGGTGAGATACAGGATTGTTCCCCTGTTATATTCCCTAGTTCATTGTCCTGTCTGGTTTTAAATGTGTCAGGTGATGGGTCTTTCCTCACTTTCCCTAGGAAACTCTGGTACTGTCACAGTTTCCCTCTATTATTCAGCTTCAATTTTCCCCTCCTTAATTTAATTCCCTAACTTGTAAGTAACTATGCAAACTGATCTGCTTTCTTCATCCAAAGGTTACCATGCCCTCAATATTAGTTGTCCTTTAGCTAAGCCATTTCACCTTCCCTCCAATTAGTTTGTCTAATCACTTAGTCACCTTTCTTTTGGCTTCTCTGAACTTCTGTCACGTTGCATAATGGCTTTGTTAAGGTAGAATGGAGGAGAAAGTGAAGAGCAAACGGTTGAAATCTCAGTTTTCACTTTTGTATCTATTGTAAGATGACTGGATGAACTGTAGACCAAAGTCTACAATGTCCAAAGCAATGCTTGAGGATTAAAGGGAATGGATTTGGCTACTGCTTTCTAACTAAGATAACTTCAGGTGCTTCACATAAAGAGTTTAATTAGTAGCTGTCAGAACAGAAAGCAATAATATCTTTAGTCATGAGGAACATGCCTGAAGGTAGGCATGTTCTTTCTATGTTTGTATTCCACTTGATATTTTGAAAGGAGGAAAATATTCCTGTGAACAGGAGCCTTGGTTTTGGCTTGTGATTATCTTCTCCAGTTAATCCCTCCTTTTGCAGCTGCTTTTCTTTCCCTGCTTTTGAACTATATAGACCTCTACTAAAAGACCGCCCGTGAACTCCTTCCCTACCAGCCACGACATTCTGAAACTCATATCAAGTGACAGTGTTCCATGCAGCCCGGGGCACAGACAGGTCCATACATGATCAGAGTGCAGAAAAAGGGAAGGGAGAAAGCAGGACTTCAAACATTCTGCATGTGCAGAGAAAATTGTTCATTTGGCTGCTAATTTACTGCAGTAACGAGGAATCTGTGCTTGCACAACACGAACAGATCTCTTGTGGCTGATTCTGAGTTTCTTCACTTTCGTTATCATGAGGTGCATGCTCACAATAAAAGTGTATAAGGGATGTATATAGTGGTGGTCTTGAGATGCAGCACATTTACAGAGGGCTTGGTTTTCCCCAGGACCATTGTTCCTTGGAAAAGCTTCCGTCAGGCCTTGCATGAAGTGCATCCCATCAGTTCAGGGCTGGAAGCCATGGCCCTGAAGTCAACGATCGACTTGACGTGCAATGACTACATTTCAGTATTTGAATTTGATATCTTCACACGACTTTTTCAGGTAAGGGTTGAGGCTTGGCAATCACTTGAAATGTGCCTCAGTGCTTCAGGTCAGACCCCTTTCCCAGGACAAACTGTCTTTTACACGCTGAAATGATTTATGCTGTAAGGGATTTGGGCGTCTTGCCCTTCATCCCCTAAACAGCTGCAGTACTACTTAGGACCCTATATTGCAGTAAAAGTGGGTGGTACTTCTGGTTGTAGAAGAAAAGATTGTCCAAATATATACTGCAACTGTAAGGCACATTCACTGTCCTCCCATGAATCAGTTTTTCCCTTTCAGAGGTCACTTTAAGACTCAAGTTCTGACCCAAGTTCTGTAAGCCAGGAAATGTAAAGCTTAGTTTATCACTTTGTCTTTCCTTGTCCTTTGCTTTCTTGTCAGATTTATTTTCCATGGGGGGGTTGTTCAGGATGGAGTACAGGCATGGAAGTTTGGGCTTCCTAGCTTTTGAACTGTCACAGCCAGGATGTTGTGGACATGTCTGTGTTCTGTGCAGGAGAAATACCCTATCGCTAGTAGCTAAAATTCTAACCCATAGTCTTTAATAGTGCTAGACTCAAAACCACAGCTTCTGATGGCACAATTGGGTATTTACAAGAACAAACACTTACTTCTTTAGCTCTGACTTGCCTTTTCCCATGTGATAGGGTGGGTTGTAATTAAGATAGGTCTAGATGAGAAATGCCCATGTGCAGTGTTGCAGTGAAGCTGATCTCATTCAGTACTTTTTCCAGCTGCAGTACATCAAGAGCAAGTTAAGAGCTGCTGCAGTTCCTCAGAGGTGCAAAGTTGTTAGGGAGAGCTCCCATCTTCTTTTAGATGAGTTGAGAAAATCGGAAGAGTTGGATGAGATTGAGACACCCAAACCCTTCTCAGGATTGAAAGCTTCCAAACGGTTGTTTCAGCTTTTTCTGCATCATTTGAAGGAATATTTGACATGGATGTGCTGGTTTATGTATTCAGATCTTGGAGTAGCCAGTAATCCTTGCCACACCCAAGTGAGGTTAAGTGGCTGAGGAATAGTCACAAGCATCTTACACATAGTGAAACTGAGACAGAGAGGGGAGGGCACTTTCCTGAGGCTGTATAGGAAGTCGGTGTTAGAGATTGGACCAGTCATGGTTTCTGGTCCTGTGCATAATCTTATTAAACTCCCATCTTTATCCCTGTGTCAGGAATGAGTCATTTTCTCTGCAGAAGCAGTACAAATTGGTCGCTATTGTTGAGCTTTGTGTGACCTCAGTGGCTTCTCCCTTAGCATTTATTAAAGGAGTTTTGATTAAGGTCTGTCTTAAGTGATGTTTTTATCACTGACAAGAAACTCAAACGCTAAGGCTGGTGCCTGGGAATGTAGTGTTTAGTTCCTCTGCTGGATTTATGGTGGATAAGAAACCTGCTGCTTTAACTCTTCATCCCTTTGAGTAAGGAATATTGTATGTGGTGATACCTGTTAGAAGTGGATGGTTAATGTACCTCTTTGCTGTTTCTATAGCCGTGGTCCTCTTTGCTCAGGAACTGGAACAGTCTAGCGGTGACTCATCCTGGCTATATGGCATTCCTAACGTATGATGAGGTGAAAGCCCGGCTTCAGAAGTTCATTCACAAACCTGGCAGGTTAGTGCTCAGCAGCAGTTGCTTTTTTGGATCGTTCTTGCTAACGTCACTGGTTACTGCACCAACTGAGACTGGATTTGGTTTGTCTTTGTCCTCCTTCCTCAGAAACCTAGACTATGACAAACCCTAGCTTGCCCTGCCTTCATGGGGTGACTTACCTCCTGCCCACCCCTCCCAGCTGTCACAGCAGCTCCCTCAGGCCTGAGCAGGACACAGAGGCAGACCCTGCCTGAATGAGCCTAAACAATGGGCCATTTAGGGCCATAAATAAGGGCGTGTATCTATAGGCCCCATAACTTTCTGGTGTGTACACATAAAACCAGGAGAGCTGAGTGGATTGCAGCCCTCAGAGCAGTGTGTACCTTTGAAGGCAGCTTTAGACAGACAAAGCAGCATGGTGGTGGGCAGAGTAGGCAGCAAGGTAATGCTGCAGGCTGGGCACACTTCAGAGGCTCTGTGGGGCAACAGTTTTGAGCTGCCCAATGTCCTGAATGGAACTTGGCCCAATGCAACAAGGCTAACAGCCTTTCCTTTATGCCAGAAGGGCCAAGTGTGAATTTCTGGAGGTTGTTACTATGTGGTTAATTCTGTGCTGGTTTTAAGAATGGAAACCTTGTGTCGTCTGTTGGGTTTGTTGTTCGCTGAGGGTTTTTTGAAGTTAATTTGAAACAAATGATTTTAAGGCTGCTAACACTTTTCTTGCCCTGGACTCTGGGTTTAATTTCACCTGGAGGCCAGGGCTTGGATGCTTTCCTCAGTTGTATCAGGTTGCAAGGTTCTCCTTTGATCTGCCTGGGGGATAATTAAGGAAAGCTGGTATAAATCAAGTTATCCCTACTAGGTTTTCGTTTGCTGTCTAGAGATAGCCAGGCAATGGCTGCCTACTTGACCCTCAGTCTTCTCTGTCTGCTCCAGTCCAAACTGAAGTTTCCTTTCCTTTGTGTGTTTTTAGTTATATTTTCCGATTGAGCTGTACACGGCTCGGTCAGTGGGCCATTGGCTATGTCACTGCAGATGGGAACATTCTTCAGACAATCCCCCACAACAAACCTCTCTTTCAAGCACTGATTGACGGCTTCAGGGAAGGCTTGTAAGTAACTTTAACAAAATCGAGTTTTCTGCCCTTTTTTCGCTGTTTGCTCTATGAATGTTCATCCTGTGATGAGGGCTTGAAGTCAGTCAGTCGAATGGTAAAATGTACCTTCTGGGTTCATCACGAGAGAGGCAGCACATTGCAGAGCTCAAACAATCACTAAGACCCTTTTGGACATCTCTTGGCTCTTCCTTTTAGTTTAGTTGTTGATTCAGCAAAACAGTTCAATTGCCAATAGTGCCTAATTTGAGCCGCTGCGACTTCTATTATGGTATCAGGTTTATTACCCTGCCTATTACAGTTTCACTACAGGATGATTTAAGAAGAGTAGCCTGGGACCATAACAACCTGTTTGAAAGGAAAATTGCTGTCAGGAAGGAAAAGAAACTTTTCTTTTGAAGAATGACATTTTGGGGTTCTGTCCCATAGTAAAATCCTTCCACATCTCCTTCTGAATTCAGAATACCTTGAATTCCCACCCTCATTCTTCTCTTTCCTCCACCCTCCCCAAAAGAAACCTTATGTGTGCTTTCATGTGTGTGTATGCACGTGTGTATATACACACACAGAGAACAAGATCTGTTTTTTCCCCCAACTACTTACAGTTATTTATTTCCCGATGGCCGGAATCAGAATCCTGACTTGACTGGCTTATGTGAACCCACACCTCAGGACCACATTAAAGTTACACAGGTGAGCAAGGTATTCTGTCCCATCAAACTTGCTAACTTTCTTCCTAATTCCTAGCCTCCTTAGCTGTTTGTAGGATTCTGGCTTACTTGGTATCCCCAAGACTTTGTTTTTAAGGATGATGTATTTTACAGGTGGGGATTTGAACGGTAGGGATGAGCAGAGGAGATTGCAGAGGTTAGGTAAAGCTTTATGCGGGGCTGACAGTTGTAAGGTTTATTTGGGTTTAGGATGTTTCTGACACATACTCGTGTTCTTGTGCCATGCAGCACGTCTTGAGCCCTGCTTTTGGGACACCTACATGAAAATCTGGCCTAGCTTGAAATCCATTCTTTTCAGACCTTGGCAGGTGTATCTAGTGCATAAAACCGTAGTGAAATCCTTCCAGATCTCTGTTCTCCTTTGCGCCGTGTTCTTGTGTTGGGTTTACAGCATTAACCCCGTATGTCTGTCTTGCCCCAAGGAACAATATGAACTGTACTGCGAGATGGGCTCCACGTTTCAGCTGTGTAAAATATGCGCTGAAAACGACAAGGATGTGAAGATTGAGCCGTGCGGCCACCTGATGTGCACGTCCTGTCTCACTGCGTGGCAGGTGAGGTGTTGCCTCTTGTTAAGCCCTGTGAGTAAGGCTAGTTGCTCTTTGACAGGAGCGGTGTATAACAGCTCTCTTCTCTTCCATGAAGGAATCAGAAGGCCAGGGATGTCCTTTTTGCCGCTGTGAAATCAAAGGCACGGAGCCAATCGTAGTAGACCCGTTCGACCCCAGAGGAGGAGGAGGATTGTCACGACAAGGGGCAGAAGGAACTCCCTCGCCCAATTATGATGATGACGACGACGACAGAGCTGATGATTCCCTCTTCATGATGAAAGAACTCGCTGGTACCAAAGTAAGGTCACCAGAGCGTGTGCTAGTAGATGTGGCAGGATGGACGCAGACTGCGTGTTGTCCATCAGTTTTCTATGGTGAGGGTTGTCACACCTTATAGCACAAAAGATATCACACAGTATGGAAAACATGGATTTAGGATCGGTTTTGTCCATTTAGTTCACACTGTCAGTTCTATTAAGCAATGGTAATTGCACTTGGAAATCCTTGATCTTTTGTGTGTTGTCTTGAAAGAAGGGTGAAAAGGCTGGCTTGACCTGCTGGAATGTAAGATCTAGGTTTATAACACTTCTCTGTATACTCAGCAATGCTGCTTTTGATTTATTAGCCATAACTCACTCATATCAGCAAGAATTCATCCATTTTCCCCAGTGATTAATACAGCCAACTAGATAGAGTCTTACCAAGGTCCTCATGACTAATGGGGTAGAGGGCAGGCGATTTTGCTCTGCAAGTCAATTTGACTGTCATTTTTTTATATGGTGTCTGATAAATCTGTATAATAAAGGTGTGATAATTCTTTGCCATTAGTGCTGCGTCCTTCCAGGAGATGGGCACAAGACAAGCATTCTGTATGGATCCCTGCATGGTTTACTTCTTTCTAATAGCGTGTTGCTGCTCTTGCACACCTGGACTTTGCAGTGTTTTACTGCATAGGGAAGTGGGTTTGAACTTGGCTAGTTTTTAGTAGTTGAATACAGGAAATTAAGTTGCCTTTCCTGGTCAGCCAGAAGCCTTTACGCTGGTTTACCTGTATTTCTGTTCAGCTTCCACCATGTGAAATCGTGTACTAAACAGTAAAACCTATTCCAGGAGGTGGGTTTTGTACCCATAACTTGAGAAAGCAAAGCAGCGTGATATCCTGTCATGGTCTGCAGCAGGCTCTGTTGGCGCTAGTGAGCAGAGTGGCACCTGCAGTGGGTTTTGCAGCAGATCATACCCTCCTGTGTTGAAAAGAAGCTTGCTCCTGCTCAGGGAGGGCCCAGTAAGGCAGCAAAACAGCTTTTCTGTTACTGCACCACCGCTAAGTGTGCGTTTTCAGTTGTGTGCCACAGCTAAAGCCATTGGTGATCTTCGGGGCTTGCTGAAAGTCAAATGCTGTAGTGCTGGGAAATTGCCTTCATTCACTGGTGTGTGGTGGTTACTGATACAGTAGTTATTGTTAATTCAGGAGCAGTATTGAAGCCAGTACAGATCACAGAGCTCGAAAGCCTCTCTAGAGGAAAGGAGCTCTGCTGGGGTTTGCCATTTGTTGATTTTCCCATTCTCTTCTTCCTCAGGTCGAGCGTCCTCCTTCTCCGTTCTCAGTAGCTCCCCAGGCCACCCTTCCTCCCGTGCCACCACGACTGGATCTCTTGCAGCAGCGAGTGGCCAACCCGCCTGGGGCTTCCAGTCCTGGGACCACTTCAAAGGTCAAACACACTGCTTTCCCTTTCAGCTGTCATTTTGGTGGGGCAGGCAGGGAGGAGAGCATTGTGGTGAACCTCTGTGACATCCCCAAGTGCTTTCACACAAGACTTTTTTCTTCTTCCTTTTCCTGTTGGGCCATTTTCCTTCCATTCCCCCTTCCATTCCAGTCCAATCTGTCCTGAAAGCAAATGCTTCCTTCTGGAGAGTCCCTTTTTGCTGTTTAAAGGGCCTGTCTTTTCTTCACATTTGCCCATGCAATTGCTAGAAAGAAGCCAGTCCTAAGGTGAAGTACTTGCTCTTTTAGGGTGACTGGTGTCCTCCTGCTGAGCTACCAAGTTATTGTGATTACCAGTCTCTTCACTGGTTTTTAGCCTGTGCTCTTTGGAGCTGCATTTGTGGGCTTGTGTTTCGTTCTAGCTATCAGGGAAGGTGTCGTATTAACTGCTTGTCTGATTGACTAACAGAAGGCAGCAGTATGGTCTTGGTGGCATCTGATCACTGGCTCTTGAGGTACAGCAGCAGTTGAGCTAGTTTGGATGAAGTAATGAAATGATGCTTGAAAATTCAGGCAGAAGAAAACACCCATTTCTATGACTGTTCATGGCTGACCGATGAACGTTAACTTGTATAACTAACCCACAGTTGCATCGGTTCTGTAAGTGATGGGTGTGCTTTGGAATCCAGTCTAGTGCTGATGTGAGCTTCTTTTCCTTCTAGAAAAATCATCTGGGGTATTTAGTGTCTCGCTGTAGCTGCACGTAGGTACCCTGTTATCTCTTCAAGCCTGTAGAGAAGGTATCTCGGGAGGGTTAGCTTGTGGAGATGTGGAGAGTTATCTCCACACCCTTTGAGATAATTTCATGTAAAAATAGACAAAACGAAAGCCAGAGCTCACCCTTCTGCTGCCTGCCTCCCTCTTTTCGATGCTTTGTGGCTGAACTACCTTTGTTAAGCAATATTTCGCATTCCTTTGCCCTGCAGGCTGCTCCTGGTGCTCTTCACAAGGATAAACCTCTCCCAATCCCTCCCACGCTCAGAGATCTCCCGCCGCCGCCGCCTCCGGACAGGCCACATTCCATTGGGACCGAAGGTCGACCTCAGAGACGTCCCTTGCCCTGCACACCGGGAGACTGCCCTTCGAGAGACAAACTACCCCCTGTGCCCTCCAGCCGCCAGGCAGATCTGTGGCCATCCAGGCCCATTCCAAAAGCCCCCTCTGTAGCTCTCAGTCCCGGTGACCCTTGGGCTGGGAGAGAACTGTCAAACAGGCACTCCCTCCCCTTCTCCTTGCCCTCTCAGATAGAATCCAGGGCTGACAGCCATCGGCTTGGGAGCACGCTCAGCCTGGACAACCCAGGGGTGAGTAGGCCTGTTGGAGGTGAAGGTAATCTGTAAGGAATTAAGTCTTCCAAGGTGTCCTCGTAAGGGATAGAATATTCATTGGAATAGGGTGCACCAAGGAAGAGGTGGAAAGGAACTGGTGAATCCTGGGCAAGGGAGAGTAATGGGAGGACTTCCTAGGGAGGTGCTTTGGTGCCTCGTGGGAGCTAGGCTGAAATCCCAGTCTGAACAGTCATGAGGCACAGTTTCATGATCATAGCTCACCTTTCAGTTCTGAAAAACTGGGAATCTTCTGTGCTGGGAGCTGGAATGCTGCAAAAGTGCAGTTTACTCTTCTCAGGAGCTGTGATGAGTTTAACACGGTAAAATCTGAGTTAAATCTGGATCTGTTACCAATGTCAGGATGTGTAACTTAATAGTCCAACATATTGTTCTCTAAAAGAAATCCCAGGCAGATTTGCCTGTTTTTTTGTCATTCCATTCCCCTAATTTTTCCTTTTTAAACCTCCAGCTTTCTCCAATTGAGAGGCAGGACGTTTTGAGCCAGATTGTCCAAGAAAATAACACTTGGACGTTTGTCATTCTGTCTTGGGATATGTGTGCTTGTCTGCATCCTTTTCCTCTTGTCCCCTCTTCTGGCCTTCAAGCTGTTTCAGCTGAATTTGCCAAAGCCATTGGAATCTCAAAAGTTACGAAGTTCCTGCAGGTTTTGTGTAAACAAGCAGTTGGATACAGGAGGAAAACCCAGCTGGTACCCCCACTGAGGGAAAACTGTCACAGAACTCCGGGATTTCTAAGGCATTAGTGAATGCTTTGGCGTAAATGAAGATGTTTCATTCCCCCACGGGCTGTTGGGAATGACTGGCTGACAGCTTGGCAACTGTGTTGTTGGTATCTGTGGTGGTTCTGATTCCTGGTTGGAATTTTGTCTTGCAGAGCTTGAACAGTGCTCCCCCAACAACCTCAGAGAGTGAGCACCCCAAGATTAAACCCTCCTCATCTGCCAATGCGATCTACTCCTTAGCTGCCAGGTCTGTTGTTTTCTAGCTCACATGCTTTTGTACCTTACAGAATGGTAACTGTAGGGCTCTCTCCATGCTGGTGCCTGGGACAGAATCTGACACAACTCTGTCAGCCTTAATTTCAACCCCTGACAGATTCAAAATATCCAATCTAAAGGAAGCAGATTCAATCAGAATCCCAAAGCTCTGTGGATAGTGGTGGTAGTTGCCCTTGGCTGTGGCAATAGGAAACAGGCTACAGTTGCTATTAGCTCTTGTATGAATTCACTTTTGAGTTGGTATTTATGTGAAGTGGGTGGTGTGTGATGTGTGTGATTGCATTATGAGCTTGTGTCAGTGTGACCGTGTACCTGGGCTGCTAAGAATGCTGAAGGCCAGATTATTTCTGTAGTCAGAATCACTCTGACTGCTTGTTCCATCCACTGTGGATTTTAAAGGCCACTTTGGTATTAATCAGATTTGGTGTAAATGTGTTTCTCATGTTTATATATTGTTTCTTCTGCCTCCAGACCACTGCCTGTACCAAAACTGCCTCCTGGGGAACAGTCTGAAAGTGATGAAGACACCGAATACATGTCACCATCCTCTCTGCCTGTAGTGCCTCCAGGTCCTGCTGTACAAAAACCGGAGCTCAAAATGCCTTTGGAAATGGCTCAGAGTTTACGGTGAGGTTCTGTTTGTGTGTTCTGGGCTTTCTCCTCCCAGCTCTGGGAAAGCTTTTGCTTATTTGTTTACTAGGGGGGAGATTTTGCTTGCTGGGTTTGCTGCATTCCCCCAGTGATACTCACCGGATCTAGCCTGGCATAGTAACTATACATTCTGCTTGATAGCAGAATCCCTATACAGTATTAAAGGAGTCAGATAAGCACTCCCCTGTCTTTCTGATAGTAACCTTTGGAGAGCAGCAGCAACTGAAACTCTAAATTCTATTAAAAGGTGGCGTTCTGGTGGTATCAAACTCCTTTAAGCCAATAGGCTCTATTGCAATGGACGTTACTGAGCATTTTCTAGAGTCACAGAGACTCTGCATTGGTGGTTTACTGCTGCCACTTGTCTGAAGGGAAATGCTTGTTCTCTCCCTCAGAGTTTTAGACTGCGACCAGCAGACGGATGGCTGTACGTATGAAGCAATGTACAACATCCACTCCCAAGCAGCATCCTCAGCTTTCGAGGCTGTCAACACTTGTGGTGAGTGGGTGTGCTAAAAAAAGCCCTGAGAAACTGGAGGACAATGGATTGGTCCCAGTCACAGTTGGAAAGGCGTTTCGGGCTCAGTTAAATGTTACGTGCTTTTGCTGTTAAAACAGCCAGGGTGCATGGGGAAACATCTGGGTCTCTACTGCAGGCTGCATCGCGTGTGGGGATGTTGTTGAGGAGCCTGGTTGGAATGCATTGTAAAAATAACAGTTGTTCTAAAAGTTGCTGTTTGGAAGGTTCTTATTTTTTTTTATGGGCAGCAGTTGTCAGCCCACATTTATCATAAGGATTTTTAATCTAATACTACCTTCTGGAAAGAGCTTCCGTTGAACGTGGGGTTTTGGCAGCAAAACCTTTGTTCTGTGTCCTGTCAATGTTTGTGGACTACAGGGGACCAGAGTCTGCCCCGAGAGACAGAGGCTCTGTTCAGTGCCAGCGCTCATCAGAATGTGCCTCTTCTTCTAGACGAAGGGGATCTGGCAGCAGCCACTGCCAGCAACGGCCCTGAAGAGTCAGAAAATGAAGAGGATGGCTATGATGTCCCCAAACCACCACTACCAATTGCCATTGCTCGTCGCACCCTGTCTGATATCTCCAATGCCACACCTGCCTTCAGCCGAATGTCTTTGGAAAATGACCCTGTGACAGGTTAGAGAACGTGGTATTCTTCATGCTGTAGTGGGTACCGATGGCTTGCTATGCACTATCACTCACTCAAGGGTTTGTATGTAAGCTGTGAGGGTTTATAAAGCAGATTGCGCTGATTTCTTAGGTGTTCATTTCATCACTGAGCTTGCAAATAGCATTTAAATCACTGTTAGGAAAACCTTTCCTCAGCTTCAAGGATATTCCTCAAGCCACTGTTTCCTACAGGGCATGGCATCTGTCTTGTGCCAGGGTGTACCGGGGCACGCAGCAGATCTTCGGGATGTTACTTAGAGCTGTTGCAAGTAGATGACAGTGCTGGCCTTGCGCAGCTTGGCTCGGTCTCGCCTGCGGTTGCTCCCAGCAGATGGCACAAGTGAGCTGTTTGAGGCCGTCAGTTCCCTCGAGCAGGGACCTCAGTGGCTCAGCGAGGTCAGCTTTTTGTCCCTGGGGAGTAGAGGACATCTTGTCCTTGTGGCTGTAAGCGCATCTCCGAAGGGAAGACTAAAGCCTCATCTCTCCAAGAGCTGAATAATGCTCGACTTATTCCCTACAACTGCCCAGCAGCTCTAAAGGAAGCTCTGAAACGTTTCCTGTCGGGGGGCTTTCCGCATTATCTGGTGATTTGCCAAGTAAGAGGAGTGAGTTTCTTGTTCCTTATGGGGGACCATTTGCTCCAGTGAGTGTTTTGTTCACCTCCTTCACCACTTCCCCTTCCCCGGGCTTGCCCTTCTTTGGCACAGGGAAGGGTTTAGCAGTGCAGAGAAGTTTATGAGCTTTTGCCACTCCTCCCTGCTCCCTGCCTCATTGTTTAAGTCTCACTGTGCTGTAGAATGTTGCTGAGAGGGCTTAGAAAGGGCAGAGAGAGCTCACATCCTCCTCCCACGTGAAGCACTCCCCTTAAACATTGACTCCTCTTTGTTTTTACAGCCCTGCAATAACAATGCTATTGTCCCGATGTGTAGTGGTAGGAGATCTGCTAATGAGGAATGCTGATTGTTGCTGCTCTGGGGAGCATATGCAGTTTTGTGAAACACTGGGAATTGGCCCCTGCTCTAGTCTGGTGTGAAGCACACGTGCCTAGCCTGGGATGCATTTGGGCAGATTTATGTGCTCCCTACAGTTTGGTTTCTTAATCATTTACCAGAGGAGCTGTGCTAGTGGTTGTCCTTTCAGATTGACCCACGGGCTCTGAAATTTGATCCAGTGCGAGCAGAAAGAGCCAATTCAAAAGGCACTTTAGGGGAGAGAAGTGGGTAGTCCCTTTTCTCCACTCTACAAAAAGCTGTTTATGTGTCAGGAGCTTGGAGGTTGAAGAGCAGGGAGCTGAACTGCATTGTGGTTGGGGAGGAAGCGCTGATGAATTTGCTTCCTGAGGAGCCTTCTCCCTCTTAGTGCTTTCAGTGTGTTTTCAGAAAGGCTCTGCAATGACTGCTTCTCTTCTGACCAGTGCTGCAGTGCCCACTCTTACAAAGGGCTTGTTTGGGCATGCTTAGCCTTATGGATTTGTCTGTTGTACTGCTAGAAAGCTCTGTCTTGATTGCCTTGAGGACATTATCCGGGAGACAAATACAACTTTAAGGTGGTGTCAAATGTACATGCAGGAAAGTTGCCTGTGGTTTGCAGAGTAGGGAAGAATGCTCTCTGCCATGCTAGATGAGGTTAGAGCTCAAAGATCTATCGGATGTTAGATTAATGCATTAAGCAGCATTGGTTTTCCCTAAGGCCTTGGAGTGTTATGTCTCTCATTTGGTTTATTGGCTATTCTTTTTACTTCCCACGATGTGGCTACTGGCAAGTAACACATCTGAATGACTAAGGGGAAAGGCAGAACAGGCTGAGCTTATTGATCTGCCATAGCTGCCAGCCATTAGGTAGGGTGAGCTTCAGCAGGAGCTCTTGTAGGTGGCCCTGGCCTGTAGAGGAAGGGAAGAGACCTTTCAGAGACCATAATTCACTTGCTGGAGCACTTACGGTGGATGAGTTGGAACTGATAGATCTGGTTTTGTGCACCCACTCCGTCAGCACGCTTCAATGTGGCCAGCAATGTGAGGCAAGATCAGTTAAACCGGGGGTTGCTGTCTGATTCTAGGAGGCAATGGGATGTTTGGTGAGGTTGCATATCCTTACAGGCTAGGCTGGTTGGAGCAAGTGGCGTAGCTTTGAGTGGCATTCTTTGCAGTGCCATTTATCAGTCTCATGTCGTTGCTGCGTTGTTCCAAGCAAGAGTTACGTCTCCTTTCTTGAAGCAATGCCTTTGGTTCTCCTTCCAGGTTTCTCCGATGGCTCTCAAGTTCCAGAAAGGCCGCCAAAGCCGCTACCACGGAGGATCAACTCTGAGCGGAAAGCAGGGAGCTGCCAGCCAGGCGGAACCAGCAGTGGGACCAGTGCATCACTGCAGCTCTCCAGTGAGATCGAGAACCTAATGAGCCAAGGCTATTCATATCAGGACATTCAGAAAGCACTGGTCATTGCACATAACAATATTGAAATGGCCAAGAATATTCTCCGGGAGTTTGTTTCCATTTCCTCCCCCGCGCATGTGGCCACATAGCACATTACCTCCACGCCTACATCTTCTGTGGACCAACTGCCTGGGCAGCTGTAGCCCAGCTCCGCACCAAAGGGGAAGGGGGTTCCTTTAGAGACTTCGTGTTGAGGTCGGTCCTGCCTCTCAAGAGAATCAGTTGTCAGGTTTTTGTGGTTCCAGATTTCAAAGCAGTGGGATGAAACGGAGCAGAATGGTGTTTTATACAGTGTATGTTTTGGAGTCCTTTACCCCTACCTCTTGTTTGAGAGAACAGATTTCTTTCCAGGGTGTTTCATAGAGAAAGGTCTCACAACAAGGGATTCCCAAGCTGATGCCCTGGAGGCTGGGGTGGGGGGGGAGTGTTTTGTGCTGTGAATTCTAAGTGAATGCTCTGAGAAACCAAGTCTTGAGGTCGGCGTGGTGTGTCCTGTGGTTTGTGGTACTAGGTTTGGATCTGTTCGCTGCTGTGTGTCTGGCTCAGGCTTTTTAGGCCAGCTGGGAGGTCACTTTCTGCTGGGAATAAATAGGAGACCTCGGAAGAATCTTTAGATTGCTTCCCATTTGCCATGGCGTTTCCCTCTTGCCTGTAACAATAGCGTTTCTTGCTCTTGATTCAAGTCCTCCCTTTTTGCCTGGAGATAGCTTGATGAGCTTCTGTCAGGCATTTGGATCTCAACAGGGCAGGGATTTCTCTCCTATGTGTCCTCTTGTCGGCAGCACTGTCAGATCCCAGGCAGCTCGGCGTGCTGAAAAGGTTTGCATGTTTTTGAGGGGTGGGAGAGGGTGGGAAGAGCTGGAGCCAAGATCTGGCTGCTGCTTCTCCTTCTTTAGCCTTGAGCATTCTGAGCTTCGATGCTCAGACTTGATGGAGCAGCCACCACTGGGCGCTCCCACACGCTCTTCCTCTGGGAATGGTGCACCTGGTAAATATGATGTTTTATTTATCTTACTTGCATGGTGACTGTGCAGAGTAGTGGCCTTCACACACATTCCATCATCTCCTTCTGAGAGCTTTTGCAGGAGCCAGCTGTCTTCGTGCCAGGCTGTGTTGTGGAATTGGTAGGTGCAGCTGATGTGTTCGTTGGTGTCTTACCTGCTTTGCAGTATAAGAAGTGCAGCAGTTCTCTGCATGGCTGTCACAACAACATGGGGGGGGGGGGGGGTTCTTCTTTCCACTGCCATTACTCTAAGGTATTGCCAGAGCCTGTGCTGAAACAGATCTGGGAATCTTCTGTATTTGTAAAGTGATCACATGGCTTTAAAAGTCAGTACTCAGCTGTTACTTTGGAAAAAACCTGACTTGCCTACTCAGCTACTTGACTCTGTTCATATGTGCTTGACGTGTGAGAAGTGTGCAGTTCCTTCTGAGAAGAGTTAAATCAAGCAGGCACGCACGCATCGCAGCCTGACAGATGAACAAGTGCTCTGTGTACACTGAGAGGCTATTAGCCTTTCGAAGCATGGCTAACATCACTGGCATCTCCCAAAGGGCAGCAGTAGTCACTAGGCAAAGGATTGCGACTTGAAATACTGTTGGGGGGGATTATTGGATGCAGGTTAGCCTTTTAAGAGCCTCGTGGCTGGGCCCAGATCTCTGCTTGCAATTGGCAGAGAGGACCGACCAACTACTGGCAAAGGGAACTAAGCATGAAATGTGTGGTTTATGTAGAGTATAGGTGTCTCTCTAGGCCTACAGCTTTATAAACTGATGCAGTGGGTTCCAGGCAGTCTCAAAGCAGGAACTGTCTCTCTTTACTGCTCTGCATTCTGTAGTAAGGAATGTTTTCTCCCATGCTGTAAGGAGATCTCCTGCAGCGCTTCCAGGCTGTCACCACCATTGCTATTTCAGGGTGAGGGCTGAAGCTTGGAAATGCAACACACTGGGGAGATGCACGTCAGCGGGCACGGCGCTCTGCTGTGGTGAACAGAGAGGGCAGGAGCAGGGCCTGAGCGCTTCCCCAGGTGCTGAGCTGAGTTGCAGAGGTGATATCAGTGCACGTGGCACTCGGGGAGGAAGAGCTGTTCTTTTTCCCCTGCCCATACGTGCAGCATTGTGAACCAGACCTGCTCTTGCTGTGTGCCCTGCTCTGCCAGTTGTGCACAGCAGCCTTGCTCAGTGCATCTCAGCCCAGCACTGGTGCTGCTGAGGCAGGAGCACGGGGCAGCTCTGGTTGTTCCCTCTGTAGACCTGCATGTTACACTTGTGAGCAGCTAGTCCTGCCGTATGAGAGTCACCTCCTTGGCTTTGTACTGGAGAACCAGGTAAAAACCCTTTTGTGAGGGAGCACTACAGTTTTATAGCCCTCTTTTTTGTGTATCCTCTCCAGTGCTGCCACTTGGTCCCTGTTAGGTTTGGAGCCACTTTGTTCCCGATTTGCTGTGTTAACTCAGTGCAAGTGTGTTCAAGTGTGGTGTGTGACTCTTGCCACTGCCAAGGCTGCATAAGAGCCAAGTCCAGCCAGCTAGAAAGCCTTAATTCTCGTCTTGCACAGTGTGTGTGATCAGACTAGTGATGCCCTGTCCCGTACAAGCCGTTTATTACAGGCTTCTTGTCGTAATGTTAAACTAAATCATGCTTAGCAGAGCTGTTACAGGCCTGTCTTTGGGGTTTATGTGCCGAGAGGTGTTCCTATGGCTGTTGTTCCAGGTTTTAGAGATTAGAGAGAACAGTCTTTGTGGCATGTGTCACTGATTTTTCTGCATGTGTCCTTTCTGTGCACTGTTTCTGTCCCAGCCTGATTAAAGAAACTTAAATCTTGGCTTTTTGTCCTTAGACGTGTTAGCGTTTGCTAGAACCACTGAAGTGCAGCAGAGTCCTGACCATGTCCTATGGCTGTGCTCTGTGAAGTCAGTCCACGCACTGTACAGTGCATTTTTCTTGTTCTTTCACAAAAATAAGCCCAAGATGGATTTCTCTTTCTTCCTTTCACCTTCTTGATCTTTATTCTTAAGAAGTTAACATTATGATGCTACTTTAAAAAGAAACAAAACCCCCACATGTCTAGTGCCTTTCTTAAGGGAATGCTGCACCTCTGGGCTGGACCTGAGTATCCACCCCTCTGTGAAAATGAGGAGCCCAAAGCAGACAAGCTGTAAAGACAACCTTTGAGCTTGGAAAGGGGTGAAAAGAAGGGGCAATTGTCACTTCAGCTCTGACACTGCTTGGTAGCTTTTCAGCTGTGGAGGTTTCTTACTTCACCTGTTACTAACAGTGACTTGTCTGGACTGGTGCTGTACTAAGCTTGGTTGTGAAGACAGTAGAATTGTAGGTCAGGATTGCTTTTGCTTGTAACACAGGATAAGTTCTGCTCTTCAAGATGCTGGTTTCCCCCCTGCCTGTCAACCACGGACACACAGCAAGCAGAGAACAGCACTGTAAGAGCTGGGCACAAACCAGTACCCAGTGAGCAGCAGGTGGGTGGGGAAAGCAGGCAAGTATTGACTGCTCTGAACAGGGTTTCTGACTGACTTCCAGTGCCACCGGAGCTGAATGGGAATCAGGAATGGGACATATCCTGCCAGTCTGCAGCGCTGCCCCTGTGTGTCTGCCTCTACAAGTGCTGCAGCTTGAAGCCTGCAGGGTCTCTGCTGGGAACCAGCGGCCTTGCTTTCACCATGAACAGCTTTTCTGCATGCCCTTCCCTGAGCCCTTCCTTCGGGGCAGCCGGGTAGGCTCGGAGTGCAGCACGTTGCTTCCTGCACTAGGCTGATTCCATTACCGTAGCTAATCCTGAGGCAGGGTCATTGCTGTAAATGGGTTTATTTCAGTTGAGCAAGAAAAAAATGCAACTCCCAGGGCCCTTCCTTAAAGGTGCCCCTTTAAAAAGGAGTGGGGAATAAGGACACTTGGTTTTAAAGTTCCTAAGAGAAATGTTGCTTGGAATTCGTGGCGGGGGGGGGGGGGGGCAGAGACATGTTGTTCTTCCCCTTGAATGACAAATAAGTACCAATTTGTATAATATCAGTGTTAAAAATGTTGAGATTTTCACAAACTATTTTAAGAAAGCTATAATAGTGTCGTTAATATAAAACTATGATAGCAGTATTTAATCCTTTCAGATCTGTAAAGAATAAGGAGAAACAGAAGGTAAATATTCTTACAGAGAGTAGCTGAGCTTTAAGGTTCACTCGGTTTAAAAGTCCTCGTGTTGTTGGCGAGCGCACTGTTCATGTTTAGAGGTTATACTAATGTTATTTATTAATTGTTTCCATTCTCGTCTGCTGCCCACTAAAGAGCTGCTTTCTTTGGGATTTCCTTCACCTGTGTCAGTACAAAAAAGAAAACAAAAAGGTTTATTTTTAAATAAAATCCCCTTTGTTGTAGCACATGGTCTGGGTCGTGTCGCTTCTCTCCTGGAGGAAAGGGTATTCCTGCTCCTGCCTGCTCTCAGTCACCTCCACAGGGACAGCCAAGTCGGAGGTGTTCACGTAGCCTCCTGCATCTCTTGCACATCACCACTTTGTACCTGGTTTAGCTGTTAAGTTCACATTCATGTCATGGATGCTCACAGAGGGCAGAATTGATTTGTACCAAGTTGATACTAATAATTCTATTGATAGAGTTATCTATCATAGATAACTAGACAGATATCATAGATAACATAGAAATAGATACTAATAATTCTAATTGATACTAATAATTCTATTGATAGAGTTATCTATCATAGATAACTAGACAGATATCATAGATGACACAGTAATTGATACTGATAATTCTATTGATAGAGTTATCATAACTAGACAGATATCATAGATAACATAGTAATTGATACTAATAATTCTATTGATAGAGTTATCTATGATAGATAACTAGATAGATACCATAGATAACATAGAAATAGATACTGATAATTCTAATTGATACTAACAATTCTATTGATAGAGTTATCTATCATCGATAACTAGACATATCATAGATAACACAGTAATTGTACTGATAATTCTAATTGATACTAATAATTCTATTGATAGAGTTATCTATCATAGATAACGAGACAGATATCATAGATGACACAGTAATTGATACTGATAATTCTATTGATAGAGTTATCTACCATAGATAACGAGACAGATATCATAGATGACACAGTAATTGATACTGATAATTCTATTGATAGAGTTATCTACCATAGATAACTAGACAGGTATCATAGATAACATAGTAATTGATACTAATAATTCTATTGATAGAGTTATCTACCATACATAACTAGACAGGTATC